ATTTTAATATGTAATATAAATGACAGTAAAATTCCACCTTCATTTAAAAAAAACACTTTTTAAACATTTAACTTTGAAGGCCACCAAAGAAACTAATAATTGGAGGAAATATCAGGAAATAAGTAAAAATCTAAAATATTCATTGTGTTTATTTCACCAGGACTTCAAACCTGATCATATCATATGAAGTACTTTCACTAATTTTCAAAACTGATAGTAGACTGTAAGCTCCATGAGGGCAGAGATAATGTTTTCTTCAGATTCCAATCAGCAGCACCATTAGTAGTGCTTAGACTATAAAAGGTGTTAATGATTGATGGGTAATTGACCAGCGTTATTGAGGTGACAATAAAGAAAATGTCAGTTTACTAGGCTTCGTTTAATTTGCTTGTCTAGCCTCCTTTTTCTGTAAGTAGCTGACAGTTGTTTTCGAGCAAGACCTCCTCACGGCTTTTTGCCCATGTGGTCTGGCCATCCCTTGACTTTAGCCTTTTGCGCAAGATTCTCCAGTGAGATTGTGTTTTGCTCCAGCTATTAAAAATGAGACATGCTCTTTCAACTATGCATTACTGAACAGTTGAATGTCATCTTGGAGTTTCTGGTGACCATCTTTGCCTCTGCACTGAGAAAAACTGAATGATAATGAAACCAACACAAAGAAAGCCAGAGCTAAGAGATAGAGAGAACCAGTATCTTGGTGACATCATTTGATAACTTGGCTTGAGCTATGCCTGAATCTAGGAGATCCCGGGACTTTCCAATTACATGACCTAACAAATCACTTTATCCTCAACAATTTTGTTTTGTTTTGTTGTTTCTCTTAAGCCGATTTGAGTTTGGTGTGTGTGCTGAATAGAGTTCTAAATTATACGGATATTTATGCTGACATTTCATAAGTCTGCCAACAATTTTGATAATAATGGGAAGTAGTCATTTTATGTAAAATTAGTCAGTATTCTATGTAAACAGCCTTAAGAAATCATTGCTAGTAATCCTCAATACCTATGAGTTGCTTCTAAGTTTTAATAACCTTTTAGCCAGATAAAAGTCCATGAGTTCACTGGAATTGAAGGGGTTTTCCCCTGAGAATTAAACTCCTGAGACCCAGATGTCTTCTATAGTTGACTTCTTTTTAATTTGTTCATACACTTCTAATCTTCTATTTTAAGACCACACACCCTATTTTACCCCTTTAGTTTCTGTTATCTTCAGCCATGTAAACTTAACCCAAAATGCCTTGTTAGGGCCTTATTAATGTATAAAGCATTGCTACCAGTCCAAAGTCTGTTAGAATAAATTGGGTCACCTAACAGATAATCATTTTATGAGTAAGGGGCTATTTTGAGGCCTTGAATTTATTGATAACCAGTAATTTCTGCAAGTTAGCTATGAATAAATATCTTTTATGAAATTTGTCACTGTATTTCTATAAGATACATTCTTTGAAATTTATAGAAAGGCTTATATTCTTGACACCTCTTAAGCTAAAAACTAAAGAACTGCAATGGTCAGGTGGGTCTTTAGATTTAAATCTTTCACCCACGTCCCCTGAATTGGAAGGCAGATTCTTAACCACTGGACCATCAGGGAAGTCCCTAATTAAAGTGATTTTATTTTCTCATTGAGAAATCAAATTCCAGTGCAGATTCAAAGTAAATATTTATTGGTGGTTGTACCTTTGGCAATAATATATTACCAGACATCATCTAGTTCTTTTTCCAGAACGTTTTATTTCCCAAGGCTTCTTGGCCTCTAATTCCAAAGAAGCAATTATATTATTATTTCTGTTTCTACATTCACAGTCAAATAAGCAAAAGTAAATCTTCCATTTTTCCTTTCTCAGCAGCATGGGGATTGAGCTGTACCTTTCCTTTTCAGTTAAACATGAGGTAGAAATGTAAGTAACAAGAGCAGGAAGAGTAATTTCAAGTATAAACATTTACAAAGTAAGTAGTCAAATAGCCATTTTACTTGACTACAGTGATGGTCACAAAAGAGGCCAGATGCTCACAGTATTCTAGGATGATTGACTGTAATCAAGAGGTATAGGTTATAACTGCTTCTGAATACATTTCACTGGCCTCAAACAGGCTTATTGCTCAACAAGACAGAATTCTCACATACTCAGTCATCATTTTCTGCTCATTTTTAATATGTTGATATACATTTATTGTCAAAATAGCATGAGAGAGTGAAAAGAGTAGCATTTTGGTGGCAGTCAGACCTGGGCTCAAACGTTTACTTCTCCATCATCTCTGCATTAATGGGTTACTTACTTTCTCAAGTTTTCATTATCTGAAAGGAGCCCTCACTGGGATGTTTGGGAGGATTCAGTGAAATGTCTGTCATGGTTTCTGATTCTTAACAGTGGCTCATTAAATAAGAATTTTATTATTTATTTGTTTATTCATTCATTTATTCATTGGCCACATCACGTGGCTTGTGGGGATCTTAGTTACCCGACCAGGGATTGAACTCACATCCTTGGCAGTGAAAGTGTGGAGCCCTAACCACTGGACCGCCAGGGAATTCCCTAAATATGAATTTTAGTTCCCTTTCTATAACCCAAATTAAACAATTACCATTTGAAAATATCTACCCTCCTTTCCTAAGTTCCATCACTGCTGTTGTGTGAGACTGATATTGAACTCATTGAGTTGTGATAGGAGAAATGATTCTAAAGTCTCCATTGCAAGGGTCATTAGTGTTTACAAAACTTAGCTCGATGGAATAATGTACTTTTACACTAGGATATCCTGCATGCAATGTACAAGTAATTTGCATGAATGGAGTGATTTTAAAAAGAGTTGGTCTTAGATCGTAGGTGTTCTTGAATAAAGATATTCAAGAAAAAAATCTCCTCATGAGTAATAAAAAGAATGCAGTAAGAAAAGAATTAATATTTATATTTCAATAGTATTTTTCACAGAAATAGAACAAACAATCCTAAAATTTGTATGGAACCACAAAAGGCCCAGAATAGCCAAAGCAGTCTTGAGAAAGAACAAAGCCGGAAGCATCATGGTTTCTGCTTTCAAACTCTATTACAAAGCTAGAGTGATTAAAATAGCATGGTATTGCACTCGAATGATGGTTGCAGGAGCAGAAGCAGAGTGGAGCAGCAGAAGCAGAGCTGAGGACCCACATGTCTGGTCAGCTGAGCCTGGATGCAAAGGATGCAAAGGAAGAGTCCAGTGATGCAATGAGTAAGGCCTGGCAGCTGGAGCAGTGCAGGCCCGTGTGCCTGTGGAGCTACAGGATGAGGGGGTGCATCCTCAGCCCCTCCTGCCAGGCTTGGAGAGGCCAGAGGCCCGGGTGCACAGGGGCAGACAGAAGCTCCCCAGGCCTTGGGGTTTCCTTAGTGGACTGCTGGGAGGGTGTGCCAAGGGTGGAAAATGTCGGCCAAGGGGCACTACCTCCTCAATGAGGACAAGGAGGGCCCTGACCAGGATGCAGTCTATGAGAAGTACCTCCTAATATCATTTTTTTTTTTTTAATTCTGGTACTGGCATAAAAACAGACACATAGATCAATGGAACAGAATAAACAGCCCAGAAATAAACCTACACATATATGGTCAGTTAATTTATGACAAAGGAGCCAAAGATATACAATGGGGAAAGGAGAGTTTCTTCAATAAATGGTGCTAGAAAAACTGGAGAGCCAAATACAAAAAAATGAGACAGGACCACAGTCTTCATACACTAAAACTCAAAATGAGTAAGACTTGAACATAAGACTTGAAACCATAAAGTCCTAAAAGAAAACGTAGGTGGTAAGCTCCTTGAAATAAATCTTGGCCTTGATTTTTTGAATCTAATCCAAAAGCAAAAACAACAAAAGAAAATACAAGCAAGCGGGACTATATAAATTAAAAAGCTTCTGCATAACAAAGGAAACTATCAACAAAATGAAAAGGCAGACTACTGAATGGGAGAAAACAGTTGCAAGTCATATACCTGATAAGGGGCTAATATCCAAAACATATAAAGAATTCATACAACTCAATAGCAGAAAAGCAAACAATCCAATTTAAAAATGGACAGAAGATCTGAATAGACATTTCTCCAAAGAAGATGTGCAGATGGTCAGTAGGTACATGAAAAGATGCTCAATATCACTAATCAACAGGGAAATGCAAATCAAAACCACAATGAGATATCACCTCACACCTGTTAGAGTGGCTACCATCAAAAAGACAAGAAATAATAAATGTTGGTGAGGATGTGGAGAAAAGGAACACTTGTGCACTGTTGGTGGGAATGTAAATTGGTACAACCACTATGGAAAACGGTATGGAGCTTCCTCAAAAAAGTAAAAATAGAACTACCATATCCAGCCATTCCACTTATGGGTATTTATCCAAGGAAAATGAAAACACTAATTTGAAAAGATATATGCACCTCTGTGTCCATTGCAGCATTATTTACAATAACCAAGATATGGAATCAACCTAAGTGCCCATCAGTGAATGAATGGATGAAGAAACTATGGTATATATATGCAATGGAATATTATTCAGCTATAAAAATAGCTGAAATACCCATGATCTCACTCACATGTGGAATCTAAGAAAAAATAAATAAATAAAAAGCCAAGCTCAAAGATACAGAGAATAGATTGGTGGTTTAAAAGAAGAAGCAGGGGATGGGAAATGGTGGGAGAAATGGGTGAACTGGGTTTTTCCTTTTTTAGTTTAAGTAAACTGAATTTAAAAAATTTTAAGGACTGCAATAAGAAAATTATATCCCAGCTATTTCTTTTTTTTTTTTTTTTTTTTCGGTTTTGGCCTCTTTTTGGCCTCTTTTTTTTGCAGCTCATGGGCCCAGCCGCTCCACAGCATGTGAGATCTTCCCGGACCGGGGCACGAACCCACGTCCCCTGCATTGGCAGGCGGACTCTCAACCACTGCGCCATCAGGGAAGCCCCCAGATATTTCTTTATTCACTTACTTGTATAACTTCAATATGCACTGTAGGAAATTCCTGTGACATCTAGAGAATCAAACCACAGCATGCAGACAATAATAAGGAGTAGACACAACACATCTGTGAAGTTGCTGCTGTGGACCAGAGCGCCAGACCTCGGGCAGAACTGCAGTGCTAGGTGTGACAGACTACACCAAAATGCTTAGATGGGGAGATAACTTCTGATAGATGTGACTGCAGGCTGTGTATTCCCGATTTGCCAATGGCAGCTGAGGAGGCATCACTTCTTTGAGTGGAGTTTGTGCACACACAATCTATGTTTGTACCCAGGGCCAACACAGGTTAACAAGGCCAAGAAGGAGGGGAGGACATGGGAGTGGGTAATAGCCAGGGAGGACTTCAGAGCATTAACATGGGGGGAGAGGGAGGAAGGCTGAGGATTGAGGGTGCTCCCTGTTGCTTCTGCCTATGTGTCAAGTGGCAGTAGAAATTTTGAAAGCTGTGAGGAAGAGCTAGTGGTACCCCACCCTCCCCACTTCTAGGAAAACCTCTTTCCATTCCGAGGTAATTGAATTGAAGGAGGAGGACTGACCTGAGAATAGGAGGAAAGCAATTGTTCTGGGGCTCCTCCTCCTGTCATTTTTATCACTTGCCTCCTGACTCTTCTCCAAATCAAGCTCATCCACGTCAAGGTGGCAGCAGAATATCCTGTACAAGTGCCAGCTGTCGGGAATCTGCTGACGCCACCCTGTGCATCCCAAGCTTCCCTGTTATCCAGCCACCACCCGTGACCATTGGGACTGCTTCTGATGGCTGTGGCCTCCACTGCCCCAGAGAGCATATTCTCTAAGCAGCTCCTTTTCTCTTTTCTGGTGAGTAACAAGCAAAGGATTAGGGAGTTCAAGCATGTTACTGTGCATTTCCCTCCTTTAGTCTGGGCTTGAAAGAGAATAGAGTGGTAGTGGAAGGCAGAGAAGGCAGACTGGGAGAACAAAAACAGATCTGAGAAAAATTCAAGGAAGAGTTGAGAGACTTGTGACCTGGGATGGCAGGTGTTTTGTTTGCTCTTCAAGTTTCCACTGCCAACCTGTTAGTTTTTCAAGGGAATCCCCTGTTCAGTCTTGCTGTGGTGTTTTTCTAAGGAGTGATGGAATGAATTCACTCCTCAGCCATTTGACCCAGGAAGTTCTGAGGTTTGCTTTTGCTACTAGTAAATAAGCTGTACTTATTTAACATACTTAGTTCCACTGAGCTGCTAGAAGAGGAAGCTGCTAGAAGAGGATTCTGGGTGGAGAGGTGAAATATCCAGGACTTTCTTAATTTTACCCAGGAAGGGCTAAAAGAAGGGCAGAGCTCTTAGTTCAAGCAAGGTGTTTAACTTGAAAAAAAAAAAATAAAGAAAAATGTGACAGTCTTGAAAAAATACAGAAACTTGGCTTCCACTTAGGTTTTTAATAACTTTGTAACTGCGTACTTCATTCCCTGGTATTAAGAATGAAAACATTGGGACTTCCCTGGTGGCGCAGTGGTTAAGAATCCGCCTGCCAATGCAGGGGACATGGGTTCAAACCCTGGTCCAGGATGATCCCACGTGCTGCGGAGCAACCAAGCCCGTGCACCACAACTACTGAGCCTGTGCTCTAGAGCTCACAAGCCACAACTACTGAAGCCTGTGTGCCTAGAGCCTGTGGTCTGCAACGAGAGAAGCCACCGCAATGAGAAGCCTGCACACCGCAACAAAGAGTAGCCCCCGCTAGCCACAACTAGAGAAAGCCCGCGTGCAGCAACGAAGACCCAATGCAGCCAAAAATAAATAAATTTATAATAAAAACAAGTAATCATTATTTTTAAAAAAAGGAATAAAAATATTATAAGTCAAGAAATAAGACTCATTTTTTATTTTCTTTTTCTTTTTTTTTTTTTTTGCGGTACGCGGGCCTCTCACTGTTGTGGCCTCTCCCATTGCGGAGCACAGGCTCAGTGGCCATGGCTCACGGGCCTAGCTGCTCCACGGCATGTGGGATCTTCCTGGACCAGGGCACGAACCCGCGTCCCCTGCATTGGCAGGCAGACTCTCAACCACTGTGCCACCAGGGAAGCCCAAGACTCATTTTTAAAAAAGTGGTTACTTAAAGCGGAACACAAATGCAACTTTTTAAATTCCAGTTTTTAGTATTATCTGCCTGAGTTATTGTAAAATTACAGACTGTTTAAATAGGCTGACACCATATAGCCAATAAACTTGGGTTGAGTTAGAAAAGAAATATACATCCACAATATGGCTGATGGTTTTCTTTCCTTCTCCCAAATAGTGGGTCCCATAACTCTAGAAATATGTCCTCAGAGAAAAATTGGTTATAAAATTGACCTATCTGTTCTAGCTCTATTTTTTTAATTGCATCTTAATTAGTATCTGTATTGGTCAAGACGGGTTTTTTTCTTAATCTTTTCTTTTTTTAATTTATTTATTTTATGTATTTATTTTTGGTTGCATTGGGTCTTCGTTGCTGCACGCGGGCTTTCCCTAGTTGTGGCGAGTGGGGGCTAGTCTTTGCTGCGGTGCGCGGGCTTCTCATTGCGGTGGCTTCTCTTGTTGCGGACACAGGCTCTAGGCACGTGGGCTTCAGTAGTTGTGGCACGTGGGCTCAGTAGTTGTGGCTCTCGGGTTCTAGAGCACAGGCTCAGTAGTTGTGGCACACAAGCTTAGTTGCTCCGCGGCATGTGGGATCTTCCTGGACCAGAGCTCGAACCTGTGTCCCCTGCATTGGCAGGCGTATTCTTAACCACTGCGCCACCAAGGAAGCCCTGTCCTAGCTCTGTTTTATATTTAAATAATAACGAAACTGTCATTTGGAAAAACAGTAGGAGAAGCAAATAAACAGAAAATGCCAAGAAAAATAAGTAAAATAGGTTTTGAACTTACATTCACTTTTAAACTGATAGCTTTTCTCTTATTTTCCAGATAGTCTCTGTCTTCTTTCCTTGAGTTAGGTATCTAGCTTTTTAAAGCAATATTTGTGTCTTGAATTTAATTAAAAATCTTTACCCTGGGGCTTCCCTGGTGGCACAGTGGTTGAGAGTCTGCCTGCCGATGCATGGGACACGGGTTCGTGCCCCGGTCCGGGAAGATCCCGCATACCACGGAGCGGCTGGGCCCGTGAGCCATGGCCGCTAAGCCTGCGTGTCCGGAGCCTGTGCTCCGCAGCGGGAGAGATCACAACAGTGAGAGGCCCGCGTACAGCAAAAAAAAAAAAAAAATCTTTACCCTGTTGAAGTCTACTCTCTAAATTTTGAAATGTATTTCTTTTTAGACTAGTTTTGTGAATGATATCATTTAGACTTTGAAGTTTATGCAAAGACAGTCTAAGGAGTAATTTGAGATCAGTGAATATTTATGGACATTGGTCTTCAGGCGGTTAAAAATATCCTCGAATATTTTCTCGATTTAACTACAGGTCAAATTGCTTGGGGCTGTGAAAATGATGATTTGTGTACAAATATGCGATTATTGTATTCCAGAGTTAAGTACTTTCTTCATGCTAAGAAATCAGAATGACATTTACAAATGGTCTTAGAGATGATAAACTTTATATAGAGTCAATGGTTTGTAACACATTTTCTTGAAAGGATGCAATAGAATTCTGGTTCTAAGAACTCTATTCATTTTAATTTTTTCATTGATACAAAATGACTGTTGTGTCCCTAAAGCCACTTTTTTGCTGTTTCCTTTTAAAATGAATACAAAAAATATTGAGGGATTGGAAGATTAATTTGTTTCTGAATTGACAATACTTTTATCAATAAGACAAAACTGTAATGCGAAAGTTTGTGATCAAATGTAATTCCTGATTTTTTCCCTTCTTTTGAGGTTTTAATATTATTTTGCAGTGCCTGTCAGACTATTTCTCTTCAAGTTCCTTCTCATCTTCAGGCTGAAGCACTTGTAGGCAAAGGTGAGAAACCATGTTACGAATTTCGTAGTTTTAACTACTACATTTAGCTTCCAGCTGCTCTTGTAAAGTTTGGGATAAAAGCCATATGGTAGCTACTTGCATTAAAATTCGACATGAAATGAAAGATAAACTACTTGTTTTTTTGGTAGTGGTTAGAAACAAAGTACCAAGTTAGCTGTACACTTTTCTTGCCAGAAAAATTAGCAAGCATCAGAGGACTAAATTATCTTAGTTTAGTACAAAGAAAGAGAGGCACCAAAACCAGAAACATGTTTTAGTTTCCTATGACTGATCTGCTTCCAACATTCTTTAATTGATTACATATAAAACAGATGTGTCAAAATTGAAATGTCCCAAAATAAAATTTATGCTTGAGTTTGATTACAATGACCAAGTAACCATCAAGAATTTATGTGATCTATTTCATAGAATAGCTTCAGAAAGTCAAATAAAAATTTAAGTAGTCTTACTATCACAGCCATACCTGAGGCATGGGTTGGTTGTTCTGAGTCCAGGGGTAACATTCCTTTCATCAGTGTTTTTCATTAGCCTTAAGTTTACATCAAGAAAAACACACCTTGTATACAGAAGTGGTATACTTCTATATACTTTGCCCAGTGCTTTGAGGTTTTGAATTAATCCCTTATATCTTTTTTCTTTTTTTTTTTTTAAATTATTATTTTTGGCTGTGTTGGGTCTTCGTTTCTGTGTGAGGGCTTTCTCCAGTTGTGGCGAGCGGGGGCCACTCTTCATCGTGGTGTGCGGGCCTCTCACTGTCGCGGCCTCTCGTTGCGGAGCACAGGCTCCAGACGCGCAGGCTCAGTAGTTGTGGCTCACGGGCCCAGTTGACATGTGGGCATGTCAACTGGGCATGTGGGATCCTCCCAGACCAGGGCTCGAACCTGTGTCCCCTGCATTGGCAGACAGACTCTCAACCACTGTGCCACCAGGGAAGCCCCTCCTTGTATCTTTTAAAAGCACTTAAATGGTACACAGTCTATACTCTAAAGACACATAGTAAATATGGTAAATATATTAAATATGAATCAGTAAAGGAAATATTTTGATACAACCACTAAGCATTATTAAGCTTGGGGTTTATTAAGCCTCCAAAAGGTTTTATGGAATTAGTACTTGCAGTATTACTGAGAAATATTACTTAAGTATAGACCAGTTTTCTTATTTTTTGCAAGATAGTTTTAACTATCACAGATTATCGCAAACAATTTCAAAATCTGACATCATACAGTTTACTACACATAATAGAAAACAACACATTTGTACATATACACGAGTTAAAGTGGAAACAATAAATCCAGTGACATTAAAAATATTTAAATGATGAAAGCAGTGGAAACGGTGACTCCATCAGTTTAATTACTTAATTTTCATGGCCTCTAAGTTAGAATAGTAATTATTCCACGCATTCCAAGCGTAACCTCCCCCTTTTTGCTTCTCATGCACTAACTGGAGGTTGTCATTCCTGTAAAACTTGTTCTATTCTTGTTTCACTTTACAAATTACAGTGACATTTCTTCCCTGCAGTGAATCTGAAGGAGTGTCTCTGGTCGGCCAGCCTAATTCAGTCAAGCGGTCCTGACTTCAGCATTCTAGAAGACGGCTCCACTTACACAGCACATAACCTCATTTTGTCTTCTGAAAAGAAGAATTTTTCCATTTTGCTTTCAGACACTCAGAGACAGGAACAGAAGGAGATAGAAATTGTACTGGAAGCAGGAGGAAGGAAGGTATATTAGGCAAGACTTAAGCACAATAATCTGCTCACAAGAGCCCTTCATCTCATCTGTTTCCTTCTGTGCTAAAATTACTGCTCTTGAATGCTCACTTGTTTGTCTATTCCACTTATAATTAACATACATAAAGACTAGACGGTTTTAAGGAATAATAGGGCTATTTACAACTGGTGTAAAAATGAGCAACGCAGTAGCCAGGGAGCAAAGTCAGAATATCAGATGTTTTCAGGTGTGGCAATAAGAGGGACCTACCTGCAGAACAAGGCAAGGTGGGTCAGTGAAGATTGATTCTGGCTGGAGATGTGGTGCTCCACCCTGCGTGGCTTTCTCCCAAGTAACTATGGATTTGAGTCTCTCTTTAAAGAGGAGATGAGACCATCTACAGTTTATTCCCATCTTAATAGAACATTCTATGAGGTCCCTCTCTTCAGAGAATGCAGTAGGGCCAGTCCACCGGATTGGTTTGAATGTTCTGACTCTAAGCTCGTCTTCTTGCAGTGAGTGGTGGTAACCAGAGAGTGGGAAGGGAGAAGGTTACTGGAATTCACATAAATCTCACTTTAAGCAAACTCTGCACAGTGAATCTGGTCTTATGAGATGATTTATTAATAAGGGATTCGATTTATAAGAGAGTTTCCCAGCTAAATTTGTTTTGATTACAAGAAGTCTTCATCAAATTTAGAATATGCTTACATATTACATGTATTTTACATTTGTTATACATTTAGAATAAGGCTTACAAAATATTATTTTATGTCCAAATTGTAAAGAGTCTCCATATCACATAAAATAAAATATGCTGGAACACACGCTGACCTGTGTGTCTTTTTTTTTTTTTTTTTTTTTTTTGTGGTACGCGGGCCTCTCACTGTTGTGGCCTCTCCCGTTGCGGAGCACAGGCTCCGGACGCGCAGGCTCAGCGGCCATGGCTCAAGGGCCCAGCCGCTCCGCGGCATGTGGGATCTTCCCGGACCGGGGGCACGAACCCGTGTCCCCTGCATTGGCAGGCGGACTCTCAACCACTGCGCCACCAGGGAAGCCCCCCTGTATGTCTTTATATAGGTATACAAGTGCTTTGCACAGTAGCTAGTATTTTAACAAATTTTCATCATCCCACTTCATGTGGAATAAAATCAATTCTTTAATATTTGTAAGTGGATTATCTCTTTTTAGGCGGGTCAACATTTCTCAAGATAGCATCTTTCACCAAAACCCTATAAAGTTCTGGTTGGTTAAGTGACAAGTGATTAAATCAGGAAATAGGTGAAACTGGTTCTTACTCCGTGTGTGTGTGTGTGTGTGTGTGTGTGCGTGTGCGTGTGTGTGTGTGTGTGTCTTATTGATAAAAAACAGAACTTATGAAAAACAGAAATTGGGCATTATCCATGATATTGTTATATACAATCGTTACTTATTTTCTTCACGTTACTATGTATGTGAAAATCATAGTATCTAGAATGATAAGCAATGCTATATTTCTTCACTTGAAACATTTTGACCTTTTTATCAAAAAGCCAAATAAATAATTGATAAATATGTATATTTACATACAAGCGCATGTAAATATATAAGTTCTCTGCTGCTTTTATAGCTTCTTCATAGGAAGAAAAGCTCTAACACTAGCAGTCATTCTTGTGGAGAAATAGAAAGCTGCCTGCTCTGTACGTTGTGATGTACACTTCATTTCTTATTCTGCTGATAACATACTGTTTATGGATTTTTGAGGTCTTTAGCTGCTTCTCACTGGTCAATCTGCTGTCTCTTTTGGCTTCTTATTAAGATCATTGCAAGAGGGAAGGGAAAGAGAATAGTTTATAATTTAAATAAGCTACTGGGAATTCCCTGGCGGTCCAGTGGTTAGGACACTGCACTTTCGCTGCTGAGGGGATATATATGGTCAGGGAACTAAGATCCCAAGAGCTATACGGTGTGGCCTAAAATAAAATAAAATAAAACAAAATTAAAAAGTTACTTCACAATTTTTTGACGTCTTTTAAAGGACAAAGGAATAAAATAGTTTGGAATTTTTGCTCAAAGTTGGCCTTTTGAGTAATTTTCCTTCAGAATTACTTGTGTTTCTCTAGTTTCCATTAACATGCTTAAGATTGAATTGACATTAAGAAACACCAACTGCAAATCAACAAAATTCATAAAGTATAACAACCAGATGTAAACATGGTGCAAGTTGTAAAATCTCTTGAGACAATGTGGAATAGAAGCCTTCTCTGTCAACGTAGAGGTTAAAATCAAAATAGTATGTCTTTGCTTTTCTATCAGATCAGTTTCATTTACTGTTTTTTACTGGAAAGCTTATTTCTCTGGAAATTAGTGGGTCTTCAGTATCTGCCAATTTTGCTTTTAGTCTTGGACAAGTCACAACTTCAAGAATCTGTTTTCTTTGTGTTATGGGCTGCGAATTGTTGTCTTATCTACCTCAGAGCTGTTGTGATCATTAAATGCCATAATGCTGGCAAAATCACCATATAAACAGTAAAGCTCTCTAAAAATATTCCAATGGCAGAGATCAAATAATGCACATATTCCAGAATTTTGTCCTCAAGACTGGGGCTTTTGATGGGATTTTCCAATTCTTTGCTTTTATCTAACCTATTTGAAAGTTAAGTGTTAATAAATTATTGTTGTTCGAAATAATTAGATTTCCTTGATTATTGGGAACAGGGTCTAATTCAATACATATCATTACTGTGCTCCCATTTGCTCTATTGCCCCATGTTGTATTGTTTAATTTTGGCGGGTAAAGATTTTTCTGGATGAGTCACACCATTATTGCAGTTGAAGGAATTTGTTTTAAACCATTCAATGCATCTAGTCTTTTAGGGATTTATATAAGGCCCTTTTGCAAGTTTTTTAAAGAAGAGTTGTATAAGAAGTGAATTTTCTTCAGTAATTCCAAGTTATTTTATGAAAGAAAGCAGCTGCAAACACTCTTCCTCTTTGAATTTTGAGGAGAGTCTGTACCTTTCATAAGTTTATAGGGAAAAATCAGCTCAATCTGGTCCCTTCTTACCTATCCAGCCAGAGCCTTACTATCTTGTAACATATGATTTCTTTTCCAGACACACAAGTCTATCCATTGTCTTTAAATTCATGTTGCTAGTTACATTCTGTACACACTCAGCTTTGGTGTCACTGCTCTCTCCCTTCCTCTGCCCAGTCTACACTCAATACCCCTCTCTACAAGGGTAAATTCAAGCCCCAACTTCTGTTGACAACTGTTTACACATTCCCAAAGATGAGAACAATTACAGAGATAAAGGCAAATTATAGGGCAAAAGGGCTAAAAGAGATGAGGTTCTTCAAGCTACAGAAGAATTCAAGGGGGAAATATCACAATAGTAGACATAAGAAATTTAAATAATACTCTTCTAACTTAGCTAAAAATATGACTAATTCTACTAAAGTATAGTATTCTATTTATAGGTATTGTAACAATATTTAAATATATTATTATTGCTTTTCATATAGAATAATGGGAACTAGACTGCAAAACCATTAGTTGTACTGAGCTTTCTGAAACTGCTGCTTTAGTGACTAATTATGAAAATATTTATAATTAGTTCCTTTATCATATGAATATTACTGGATTCTCCTAGTGATCCAGGCTGTGGTTTAAAGTTCGGCTGCATTTCTAGTTTAAAACGTCTTTACAATAATTATTTGAATTTCTATTTATTTTGGAGATGCTCAGCACATTAATAGTAAAAAATCAAACTAGTACCTGAAATAGTACCAGAAACAAAATCACTACATCTGAAAATCAGTGGAATGTGGAATAATGATATTTATTTGTAGTTGAGCATCAGGACCTATTTTAAACTACAAGTGATTATACAGCGAGAAGTAGATGATCATTTCCATTGAAGAGAAAAACTAGCAAAAACTAGTGTAAATTACAGCAGGATGGACTTAGGTTAGATAGGGAGATGTTTTAATACCAACGTGATGAAGTAGAAGAATTCATTACAAGTGGTCCCATAGAATGTTTACAACAGTTTTTACAAAGGGCAAACTTAAGGGGTGGTTTATTTTCCTAAGGAAAAAAAGATGGATGGAATTGAATGCAACAAGCTATTTATTGGTGAATTACCCAATGTAAGGCACTGTGTTAGGTGCTTCAGTCACACAGCTATCCTAAGTCTCAGGCTTCACCCCTGAGGACAATTGGAAACTAATAGGGACATAAAACAATCACATAGTTTTCTCTAGCCAAAACTCTCAAAATGACAGCAGTTAAAGAAAGAAAAAATTACATCAAATATGAGGGGAGAGGGAGAGATTGATAGGAAGGCTGAATAGTGTGGTGGTAGTGGTGATGGTGGTGGTGGTGAAGTGGTGACAATACACTCCTGTATCCCTGAGTGCAGAATTTATTAAGATACAGGGATCAGACTGACAGAAATCAAAGTATAAGTTTTATTACTGAAAAAGCCCAGCTGGAGGTTGTTTGGGGAAAAGTGAAAAAGGGAACAGAGAGAACATGAATGGTTATTTCAAAACCTTCTGTCCTAGAGATTGGAGTGGAAATTTCTTCCCCTCCAGGTTAGCATGTGAAGATGAAATGTTTCCTTTCCACACAACAGTGAGGATTTTGTGTTACTCTGGTAGATGATAGGAAGATCACTGAAAAGTCTGATTAGCTAATATCATGATTAAAATTGTGCTTTGTGGAAATGAATCTGACTCCTGAGGGCTACATAGTTTGGAGAAGGTCAGTTAGGACAACTGTAGGAAAGTTGGTAGGACATGTGTGTAGGATACAATATGAAAGTTGATAGGATACATTTGGAGTCACATGAGGATAATGGCATTGAGAATAGAAAAGAGAAGTGAATGACAGAGACGCAGAAATGCGGTAATCTCTAGAACCTGGCAACTGACTAATATAAGGCTAAAGAGGGGGAAGAGTTAGATACCTGAGACTTTAATCCTGGTTCATTTTAGAAAATGGTTAAGGTAGGGAAATCAGGAAGGCTAGTTGTGGTGAAGAACTGAGTTAACACAGACTTCACTTTGGGCAGGTTTAGTTGTTCCTGTCAGTGAAGAAAATCTGTTTAACTCAACCATTTACCAGAAAACTTCAGAAATATTTTGATTGTATTTAAAGAAAAAGGGCATTAAATTCTCACATTTGGGACCAAGATATATCATTTTGAGATAGAGTTTGGAATATATATATATATATATATATATATATATATACGATTTTATTAGCATTTTTACTACACAAGAAATACATGTTACTGATAGAAAAATGAGAAGATACAGGTAGAGAAAAGAACACAATCGAGTCACCCAGAAATAGTTGATATTTATATGTGTATATAAATCTAAAAATAACTAGAATCATATTTTGTATAAACTTTAGAAAAAAATACTTGTTATTAGCATGACTAGGGGAAGTCTACATGCATTCTAGCAAGCAGAACTGTATGCAGTTAATTCAGGGAACAGAGTAGCCTCCTTCAGCTGGAGTGCATGGTACTTGGTGAGAGAATAATGAGAAAGGATTGAAGCCATAGGGCAGGCATAGTCTGTGCTGCTGTGTTGTCTCTCTGTTGCATAAGTTCTTAGTTACATAGGCCTTTGCCAATGATTTTTTTAAATATTACATATTTCCCCAACCGCTAGGTTTAATTTTTGCCTAATTTGTTATTCAAGAATTAGCTGATGGTGTTTGTCTACCTTTCAGATCTACGCCTATGCAACTACTGTGGACGGTTATGCACCTGAGTACACACTCCCCTTACTATTCAAAGTTGAAGATGATAACGATAATGCCCCATATTTTGAAGACAAAGTGACTGTCTTTAGTGTGCCTGAGAATTGCCAAACCGGTAAGTTCACATCTTAGGAAAAACATGACAATTTTGCTTCAGTTGAATTCTTCATTAATGTTTTAGGCACAGTTACGCAAAACATTTTTAAATGCTTGACTTTCATGGATATTCTACATAAAACTTTGTAGCCTTATAAGATCATAGGCTCTTCAAAGGCAAACCTTTTTGTGCTCATTTTCTAGGCACATGTAGAAAGCAGCTAACTGATACACAAAGTTACTAGCTTTGTTAGATTAATCCACAATGACAGACAAAGGCTGTTTATATTTTCTATTTTGATCATGTACATATGTGTCCCAGATGTATTTATAAAGCAATAGAGCATTTGAATCTTTATAAAGTCGCAATACATTTTCAAGGACCCAGAAATAGATTATGGTATGGAAATGCTGATCTGGCTTATAACAACGTATGCATTTCTTTTTTTTTTTTTTTTTTTGT